CCAGCTACAGACTGTATGATCCGCTACCATCTGGAAAACGTAAGCCTCTCTTACTCTCACCTCACCCCTCACCTATGATCTGAACCTCACAGTGCTTTCTTTCTTACCAAAAACCCAAACACACATTGAAAATCTACCTCTACCATACATGTCAAAAGCTCACTCCCCATCATTTCTATCCCTTTATTTCATTCTGTTGATGGATGTTTTTGCACATAACCTGTTACCTTTTTGTTGTTTTGCACATTGCCTGTTGTTGTTTTTGTACATTGCCTGTTGTTTTTTTTTGCACATTGCCTGTTGTTTTTTTTGCACATCGCCTGTTGTTGTTCTTTGCACACTGCCTGTTGTCTCTGTCTTTCTTTTGTTATACAATTGTATTGTTGTTGTTTTTTTCTTTGTACTACGTATGTCTGAGAGCTAGCTAAATAGCTTTTCATTATACCATATACCTGTATATGAGTATAATGACAATAAAATTGAACTTGAACTTGAACTAAAGGATAGATGAGGGTCCAAACAAAATTTTGTTTTTTAGGAATTGACATCTCTTACTGTTACTCAGAGTTTAAAATCTAAAAGGTTACTGGCAGTTTGGTGTGCAGAACCCTCTCAGTGAAGAAACCAGTTGATAACTGATATCCAGACAGGTTAAAAAACTGGTTTCTCATGCCTTTATTAGCATAGTGGAGATCAGAATCTTAAAATCCTCTATAATGCAGTGCTTTCTTGTCTAAGCAATATATATGTGTAAAGGCACTGAGAGACAGAGTCTTCACATGCAGACATACTGGATTCCATAGTTCCATAGTGGACAACAATCATTGTTTATACATGGCATTTGAAATTCTTAGGTGACTTAAGGTAGAGCAAGTTATTACGGAAAACAATGACTGTAATTATGCTGTCTGTCAGGGATGGTACTCCTCTGCACATTTTTATAGTTGTGTGCTGTCAGGGCAAGGTGACTGTGGTTAGTTCTTGTCTGGTATTCATTTTTGTTGCAAAACAAGGCAGACAAATGAGACACTTAGACTTATTCATTCTGGGTGGACCTTCTTCATATACAGTAAATTTTGATCATTTCCTTTTATTTTAAGGAGAGTTTTACAGAAAAAAAAATCCAATCTGTCCACTTTGTGATCTGTAGGAAAACCTGCAGTGAGGTGTTTAGATTTCCTGCATTGGAAAAAAAAACATTGTGCTGTTGTATGTGCCTTAAATACTGTTTTCCTGCACTTTGTCTTTCTGCTGAAGCTAAGAACAAATTTAGAGAGAAAAAATAATGCTAGGGTACTTTGAAAAGAACTGCGAGGAAATATAACTTTCCTATTTAATTAATTCACTATTGGACTCTTGTGTTTTCTGTTTTCACAAGTATTGTTATTTTTATTAAATCTTGGATTATGTGCTCTTTTAGTTTGCTGATAAACAACATTTGTTTATTCTGTATTATTTTCCTTAACCCACTTAGTTGTGCTCACACTATAACAATACACAGTTGCATGTCATTTATTGGTATTTGAAGAAATGAGGTGCCTGCAGCCGCCTGATCCAGACCTTCAATATCTCTCACAAAAGGTGCTACTTCAGTAAGATAAGAACAGGGCTAAACAAGCAGAATTACTTTTAAAGCAAATACAGAGGTGGGGGCACAGTGAAATGGTGGTTTTAGCTCTTTTCTAAATAGGGAGAACGTGGACTAATTCAATCAGCTCTCAATGTAATAGCATAAATGGATTAGGTGGTATTATTTTAATTTTTTCCCACTTAAAATGTGATTTTGTATGATGTGGTAATGTCAGATGCAAGAATCTTTAGGTTAACAAAATACTGTACTTTTATATTTGTTACTGTTACTTTTGGTTTTTTTTTCACCTGGCACTTATTGCTTTACACTTTAAGAATGTAGAGGAACATGAGAAGGCTCATTATGTATGTAAGAATAAAGTATATATTAATTTTACACATTTTTAGTTCTTAACATGGGTGACCTTTCTAGGAAAAAAATGCTTTCTTGCACACATGATGTACTTTGTGGTTTGATGGTCAGTATAAGAGTATCAGTGTATATTCTGTTAAGCGTAGTGGAATAGGCTTTCAGCGCTAAATGTTTTTCCTTATGTTGACATGAATATTTTCAGTCAAATATCTGGTTATGGAAAACAAGTTTTGGCTGAACCAGACAAACATGATTTTATGAATACTTGGCATGCTTGACACTACTTCAAGCAGCAATGAATTATTTATGTGACCTGGCTTATGAAAAATATCAATGCAGTATTTAAAAGCTACAAACAGTTTGACCACCATGGTGGAATGATGTACAGTGCATGCTAGGTTCAGCTGTCTCAATTCCAGAGTATACATTATGTGTGATATACTGCTGGAATATTATGTTAACTATTCACAATACATTTTAAGGTGACAGACGCCATATTCACTCAGAGACACTGAAGACCATGAGGACATGTCATAGGAATGCTATCCATAGCTCTCCAAAGCTAAATTAAGGTGGTGATTAGCAACAGTTGTTTCAGTGTCTGTCACCATGCTTGATGTAAATGTATTATGATCAGAAAGCCCTAGCAAAAAAGGGCTTGAAAATAACCACAAATAGTCAGTGCCAGTATTTAAAGAGACTTGCCGTTTTACCACAAAGCTTTTCATGGTGGGATTTGTGTTAGGAAATTGAGGTGTGATTAAATTACAGTTTTTCTAATTGCATTTTACAGATACTGTACTGTAGGTTGGCTGGCCTGAAAATGAAGAAGATGGATACGATCATTCTGTCTGCTTCTCTCCAGCCATTCCAGGCGTCAACCTGATGCTGCAGTGCTTGCCCATAGCTTGTGTTTTGACCTGATATGAAAGTAGCAATTACTTATTAAAGAGATTTTGGACACCACTGTGAATATAGAGAAAGGGACAGTACTACAGTGTTCACAGCTGCTACAACACCATCCTGCTCAGATCTAAATAGAATGCTCCATTTGATATGGTAGCTTGTTTTGCAACACGTAGTATTGTAGTATTCAGGAAATCTCCTCATTTAAAATTGTTGTCCATACAGTATATATTGAGGCACACTGGTTTGTTTCTTTGGTTTCTTAACAAAAGTGCAAAACTACCATTTTGCAAAGGGAATCCATAGGGAGAAACAGGGGTAGAACCCAAGAGGTCCTTATGGGTTGGCTGTCTCAGCAGCCTTTGACGCCTGAATTCATAAACCCACCTGACTTACTGAAAGTCGCTTGAGAGGTGCAGCCATGCAACTGGGAGCCGGGCCCTTAAGGGATGGAAAAGAAGAGGAAGACTCCCCTGACTCGCTGAGATTCACTTTGAGAAGTGCTGCCTCACAACTGGGAGCGGGGATAGAAATGAAGAGAGATGGATCCCCCAGCTCAAAACTTTAGATGGGACATGCATTAACTGTGTCAAAGGTTTAAATAGGTGGAGAGATAATTGAATAACAGAGGAAGAGAGGAAGCGTCCCCATTTTCTTCCCCAAACCTTCACTTCATGGTTATCATTTAAAATGGAAAGAAGATCTTCTCCCTTTGGTGAAGTCATCCATGGAAAAAGAGGCAAGTGAGGGGAAGTTCACCCGAGAATCTTAATAAAACTGAATAGAAATTTGTACCGATTTTTTTATGATAATGCTCACACACAGAATAATGAAGGGAGGTTTTCTGAACTATTTTATTTTTTCTAATTGTCACAACAGTAATAATAGTGTTTCTGCTTTTTTCCTTATTGTGCTAATGGCGTAAGCACTAGTTCTTTTGTCTGACTTCC